TCCCCTTCTTTTCTTTTTACCCATCTGGCAAAACTCCAGCCCTTAATTACCTGCTTCTTCCATAGATGTACCTGGACAGCCAAAATGGCTGAAACAAGTCAGCAGTACTGTGAAAATTTATAATCATCAACCTGAAATGGGCTTTTCCTCTAAATGACCCCTCCTCTCCTCTTTGTGAGGAGACGACCTCACTTATTACCTAGAGAAGAAACTCATCCATCAGATAGGGTTGCTGGAAAGTTCCTTACCCCTCTCTCTGCAGCCAGCCCACTGCTTCCCTCCATTTCAGTGGAGGAGGTGCTCATTACTTCTGATACCAACCCTTTTATCTGGGCTTTACATCCCACGCACTCCTAACTTCTCAGCTCCCTTACCTGATTTATTGGGTCTCACACATTTTCTAACTCCTTTTCTCTCTGGGATCTTTCACATTGGTTGGTCATGCTTATGTCACTTTTATCATAAAAGAGCAACTACAAATCAGAAGGCACAGACAGCCCCCTCCCAATCAAATCTCATACATTTGAGTCTCTATAGACACACGTTTTCTCCATCATCCATCATCATCCGATATCTCTTCCCCATTTCACAGCCAGACTTCTCAAAGATGTAGCCTTATTTTCCCCTTTCCTTCTAATTTCTCATTCTACACTAATCGGGCATTTATCCCCAAATAATTCACCCAGAGAGCTTTTGCTAAGTCATCAATGACCTCTAATGGATCAGAATCAATAAAGTCAAAGGGTGTTTTTCTATACATCACTTGACATTATAGTACTGAACACAGTTCAGTATACCATCCTTGAAGCATTTCCAATCCTAGCTCCATCACATCATATGCTCCTGGTTTTCCTTCCACCTCTGGAGTCTCTGCCTTTATAGCTCCTTAATAGGTTCATCCTTCTCCACTCAGTCATTAGTAATGATATTCTTCCTTTGTCCATTAGAACTAACTTTGACTCTCTTTCTATTCTATACTTGTTCCCTAATGATCTCATACATGGTCATCACTAATTGACATATGTATGCAAATGACCCAACATTTACATATCAAGCACAGATCTCTTCTTTGCTATCCATATAATCAACTGCCAACTGTGGTTATCACAAGGTCAACACAAACACATACCAAAACTTGCAATCTTATCTTCCTCACACTCTCACCCTGCCCCCACTCCTCCAAACCTGCCATTCTCCCAAAATACTCATTCTGGGAAAGGCCACCTCCACATACCCTTAACCAACATGAAAATGTCAACTGTGACAATTCTCTTTCTCTCTCCTTCATTTGACCTGTCATCAAGTTCAATCACTTATTCCTTATATCAGCACCCAAATCCATCCATTCCTACCACCAAATATTAGTCCAATTTACTATCCTCTGCCAATGACCTCCTAATTGGTCTATCTGTGATCACTCACACTCTTGTCTAATTTGTTCTATAGGATGCAGGACTAGTGTAGGTCCAATCTTATATCTCCAGCCTCAGCCTCATTTCATATCACACTCCCTGCTCTCCCTTCTCTAGCCATTGGCCCTTCTTACTTTACTAAAAGGTTCATCTGCTTTTTCTACTGCAGGGACTCTGCACATGCTGGTCTACTGCCTGGATGCAAATGCCTACCCCTCCCTCAGAGGAAGTTCCCCTGATGCCTCATTCTTTTATTCTTCCAAGGACCTTTCTTTCATAGCTGTGACCTAGCTTTCTTCTTGTGATTTGATCATTTGCCTCTCCAGCAACACTATGCAGGCCACAAGGTCACTGACAAGGTCTAGTTTTGCTCACAGATACATTCCAGGGCCAGGTACAGTTTCAGCACGTGGTAGGCGCTGAGGGAGTTTTGCTGTTGTTTTTCTTCAAAGCCATAGGTACGCAGTAAAGCTTACACACACAAAGGAAACTTTGGTACACTGTAGATTTCCAAGGCCAACACATGCAACTTCAAATGAAACAAAAGCACAACTTGGTAGCATCTTCACAGCTTATTCCTGTCGAGGATATTTGTTCTAAATACAGTCCTATTTATAAGAAATTTGGATAAGTTGGCTGCAGTTGACTATTTAAGGAGGCACTGTGTGTTCTATTTCACATGTTATAATCTGTTTTTGTTCCTGGGGCAGGTATAGAATGTTTTGTGGACACCCATTGCCAATAACACAAAAGATGCTGGGCTGTAGGCTAATTGCTCCCCAGGCCTAGACGGAGTGGAGTGTCTGAGGGCAGGATGAAAAGCAGGTGGAGGCCATCTCCTTGAGAACCTATTGTTTTACGTTCTGTGCGTTAAGGCTCTCCTGCACTCACAGGTGATGCAGAGAAGCTTCTGAGAGGAACTCTGTCCTGTAGTGCTTTGGCCACCTTGCTGAACTCAGCCCTGGGTCTTAATCCTGAAGGCCTTTAGGACACTGGCCTTAGAATAGGAGGGGCATATGAGCAGCATGAGACATGATCTATCTTTGAAAATTTTGTATAGTATCTATTGATGCCAAAATTTAGGAAAATCTTGAGATCATAATTTTCTAATGTAGTTTTTTTTTTTTATTTCTATACAACTTGCAAAGCAATATTTGAAAGTGTTGCATATATGCAGATACACATGTCCCATATCTTGAGTTACAGAAAACTACAGTATATGGTAGAGAATTATGGCAAATTATAAATGTAACTCATTGTGGAAATAATAACAAGCCAAGCGTATACTGTCTTAATGTAATTTCATGTGTTAAAAAAACACACATACATTTTTAAATACAAAGACATAATATAAATGCAATATATGGACTTACTCTTTGTATTTAAAATCATGGACATTACAGTGCATATGAAATGATATTATATACACACACAGCCAAGACAAATATATGCATTCCAGCTAAAACTGGCAAACCAGTTACCTTCTCACAATCAATCAATCCTTTTGTATGTTTAATATTTTATTCTTATCTATGTGTAGGAAAGTTTGTAATTCAAAGTATTACTTGAGCAAATATGTAATTTATGATATTAAACATTCTTATGTTGACAATAATTTTCTCATTTTGGCTAAAAACTAGCACAGAAAATCTCTCCTTTCCAAAAATAAGAAATAACATTTCTGAATCCAGTTAAGTACAAGGAACACTACAATGTAAACTGTTGACTTAAAAAAAAAACACCACAAAATAGCTTCAGTTATATCTTGAACTCATCCATCTATTGTGATACAGATATATTCCATAGTATGTCCTCCAGCTTCCCTAATTTGGAACCTGAATGTCTCTTAAAGAGAAACAACAACTATACACACATAACATTCAGCTATCAGTTTAACTACTTTGGCCACAGAAATCATAGAAACTTGCTAAGAATAGTTAAAAATAAAAATGATTAGTTTCATTTTTGCCTGTCACATGTTTTTTTAATTCTCTCTCCCCACAGAATTTTAAATGAATGTTTTTTCAAATTTTTTAATGATTCATGAGTAATTTGATGCCACTGTACTTTGCTTAAAGAATGTATTTCATTTTGATTTCTCTTCTCCAATGCAATGGTCTAAGTGTTTTTTTCTTTGTTACCTCATGACGAGGGGATTCACAGGAGTCACCCAGTTAGACTTTCGCCTGCATGTAAATTTCTCCATAGTGCTTGGATGTGCATGACCTACACATATACCTTAACAGATCTGTGCAATGACCGAGAGGTTGGAGAATACAGTGAGGTGAATATAGAGATTGGTGGAATGCAGAAATTGGTTCTAATCTCAGGAATTGACAGGTTATATATGGCAGTGGGGCATTGGGGCTTTCATCTAAGGAACAGAATCAGAACATGAACTAGAGATGTCTACCATGAGAACTGTTTAAGATACAAGACTTTTTGCAACTGTCCTATGTTTGTTATTCTCTTTCATTCCCCAAAAGCAATTAGCAGTAAAATGGCTGGGTCTGTGGAATAGTGTTCAGGTACAAAAAGTAGGTCATATCTACTATTTTTGTGGTTAGTTTAGAGGAGAGAAAAGGGGAAAGAGGCCAGAAAAATAGAGGAGGTGGTAATTCTGAGGACAGAGAGCAAGTTGATTTTTTTAGGATGTAGAGAAAGAAAGAAATAAAAGTACTAGAGTAGGCCTGGGATGACCTGGACACATAATTAGCAAAATCAATCAAAACAAACAAACAAACAAAAAACAAAAAATCTACACAGACCTTCTAGCATCTCCTCTAAAACAAGGTGAAATCAGAACTCCTTCACCTATACATTACTCTCAAGCACAAGCTTCCTCATTTAAAAAATCTAGTGTGACACATGAACTCTCCACAATTTTAAGTTATTTAAGGTACAATTCATAACCCTTTTTTATTCATGCAGAAACTGAGGTACAGCATTAAATAAACTGGGAAAAGGCCATGTGACTACCAAACATCAGAGCTGGGACTTGAACCCAGGTACTCAAACTCCAGAGTGTCTATGCTCTTAACCCCTTAGCTATGCTAACTTGCTGCAAGTTCCTTTTGCTGTCAACTAGGCTACAAACTATAGTTATCTTTGTCACCAGTAATGCTCCAATTCTCTCCTGTGTTTTCCTGCCATGTCCAAGAATCACTTATTCAAGACAATTCCTCCATGAAATAACCTATCCTATCTGCTAACAACTATATATAACTTATTTTCTGCTGTGTGTTGATTTTTACTGGAACCGTGAACATAACGATGAAAAATAAGAAATGGACTGTCAATGCTAGAATGAAAGCATTCAATTATAGAAAAGGTGGAGTTGTAAGTGCAGATATTTATAGATCATATAAAGTGGTTATTTAAAAACACCCCCACTTCCGAGACACAAGAAAACACACAGAATCCAAAAGCCAGTCTTAATCATATGGAATAATTATTGGAGACAAGAGAAATTCTAAGGCTTGATTTTTTTTTCCCTTTGGTGCCTACAGAAATTAAAGTCTAGTAATTAACATACACAGTGGAAATCAACAAAAACCCAGTGAGAAATGAAGGAAAAAACAATCTTACCTGCAGATGTGTGCTTGAACTTTTCGCTTTTCTTCTTCCTCCATTTCCAAGGCTTGAAAATCCTTCCCAGGTTGGCAAACTTACTTCTCCTCCGAATGGGTGGGGTATGGGTACCTGGGACGAGGGAGTCAGAACGCATTGCCGCCAGCCTCTCCACTTCCTCAGCTTGTTTTTCCCAAGAAAAAGATGAAAATAGAGAGAAGGGGGAAAAAAGTGTTAAAATGGGAGCCTCACAGATGGCCAGCGTTTTCCATGGTTACAGATAACAGAAGCCACATGACTGAAGTTCCGTTTCTCTTTTCATCTTTTTGTAATGGAAGTCATGCCAACATGTTCCAAAGGCCGGGGACAGTCAGCCAAATCCTAGGATTCAAAGACCCTAACCAAAACTTGCCTAACCTTAACCCAGACGTGGGGGAGGAGCAGAAGGAGCAGAGCTCTCCTGACACACCAGAGACTCCCCACGAGGCAGGGAGGCATCAGAAGAGTCAAATGACAGTGTAACTACTGGCCCAGCAATTTCTCAAATAAGACTTGGCAGATGCAATCACTATAGCACCGTCTGCTGAGAAAAGAGGGAGAAAACATTTATCAACTGTCTATTTCAGTGCCAATGTGCCAGCATCCAGGGCTCTCCATCCTACTACCCTGTTCACCCAGCCCTGCAGGAGCCCTGGACTCTGTTGAGTGCCTCCACCTTAGGATTGCTGACTGATTTTAGAGCGCTTACCATTTGTTAGATTTTATAGTTGCCTTGACTCCTCTAATCCTTTGTTTCTGCGTCAATTTTTGAAGAAAGATTTTTAGAAATTGAAAGCTAAGAGTGACTTTAGGGACCACCTAGACTACTCCCAATAACTTTACGTTTGAGGACACTCAAACCTGTAATGGTTAGTGGGGACCCTTCGTTTAAGGCCACAGTCATCCTGACCTCTTTTATAACTTGGAATAAAACAAATTCTTTTCCAACTTACATGAGCATGTACACATCCCAGTGCAACTTGAATTTTTGAGACCTAAGTAATCAGAGAAAATAATATCCTTGACAAAGTCAATGGGGTACAAAGGAGTCACCTTTTTAGAAAGTCAAATTATTCCTAAAGCTGTGGTCAATCTAAAACCCTCTGATGGACCTTTAACACTGTCTTTCAGAAAAATCACCTGGACAGGCTATTCTTGGAAGCTCAGTCTTACAGCCTGGTAGGCTACGTGAGGCCATTTGAAATGGTTCTAATTCAGGGAAGTCATACATTCAACAAACATATATGGAACCTCCACCACTACCAGGCAGTGTGCTGTGGTGACAGATGAAGACAGGTTGGTAAAGGTTCCTGGGAGCAAGACTGAAAGGAAGTAGGTGAATTTGAGAGATGTCTGGGTTACCAGAGGACTTAGTAACTAATTGGATGGCCTGAGGGAGGTCAGTGGAATGGCAGACTTCATTCATGGAAGAAGGGAACACGGGGGAGGCACAAGTTTGCAGGTGAGGGCAGCAAGGATCTGGACATGATGTGTGGTGACAGCACTGAAAAGCTTTGACTACATGGTTCAATACACTGGTAGCTCCTCTTTTGAATCATTGTGTTAAGTAACTACTTACTACTGTGCCAGACACTGCGAGCATTTATTGTGCAGACACAGAGAAGAATGGGACATGGCTGAGCAGAGTCTAGAGGAGGAGATAAAGGGCTCAGTGTGCAAAACCGCCCAAACAGGAAACCATGTAAAATTCAATGAGACAAAGAGAAGAGAATGACTAATTCTGTTTGGCCATGTTGGAAAAGACCCTAGGGAAGTAACATTGGTTTTATATTTTAAAAAATATACACATTTTTATTGATTTCATAGAAGAAGGGAGGTGAAGAGATGAGCATTGGATCACTGATCAGCTGCTTCCCACACACCTTTACTGGGATGGAGCCCAAAACCGGGTGTGGATGAAAGAAGACACAAACTAATCTGACAAGCTCAGAGAAGGCCTGCATAGCAGTCTTGCATATTCAGAGATCTAAAGTAACCACAAAGGATGGTCTAAAATTAAATTTTTTTTCTTTTAAAAATATTTTTTATTGATTTCAGAGATGAAGGGAGAGGGAGAGAAAGATAGAAACATCAACCATGAAATTGGGCAACCCAGGCATGTGCTCTGACCAGGAATTAAACCATGACCTTCTGGTTCATAGGTCAACTCTTAACCACTGAGCCACCACAGCTGGCCTCTCCAATAACTTCTCTTTAAAATTTTTTAAAAATTTATTTTTATTTTTTTAAATCTCTTTATTGATTAAGGTATTGCATATGTGTCCTTATACCTCCTTTACCCTCCCACCCGCCGCCCCCACTCATGCCTTCACCCCCCTGTTGTCTGTGTCCATTGGTTAGGCTTATATGCATGCATTCTATCCTTTGGTTGATCTCCCCCTCCCCTTATCCCCACCCTCCCTTTCCTTCCCTGTGAGGTTTGATGATCTGATGGATGCTTCTCTGTCTCTGGATCTGATTTTGTTCCTCAGTTTATGTTGTTCATTATAGTCTATAAATGAGTGAGATCATGTGATATTTATAAAAGCAGTTATGGTGAGTAGTTACCTCCTAGGCTGGTATCTTCTCTGACAAGGTCAACGTTTACCTTAACTGAGTTTATCTGTCTTTTTGCATCTATGATAACATATCCTTGAAATGCCTGGGTAACTTGTAACTTCCCCTTTTCCCTTAGGGCACAACCTAATGTGCCTGGGCACCAGGACAGATACCACAAATTCCTTCATTGTTATTGTTATCATGTTAATTGTTGACTGTTAACTCTCCTGCACTCACATAAATATGTGTCCATCATTTTACTTTTTATCCAATCCCAGGGTTTCCTCCCCCTCCCCACCCCTCCTTGCTTTGTTTTCTCCCACCTGTCTTGTCTATCACCATTGGATTTCATATAACCCACCTATGTCCTCTCCTTTGATTGCAATGTGTAAAAATAGATGAAAAGCTGCCATTCTCTGGAGCATTATCCCAAACCCATGAGATACTGCTTCCCAGCAATTGACGACAGTTTGGTTCAAATAAACTCACAAAATTTTTTTTACAGGTTTGAAGGTTTATATGTTAATAACAGGCATGTCTCTCACCAGGAATAGTACTGTGACCTCCTAGTTTATAGTCGATGCTCACCAGCCCAGTCATTTGGCTAGATTTTTAAAGAGGAGGAACTGTTTTCCCCACCTGGGGAAGGGGGAGACCTGGATCCCAGGGAGGAAAACAGCCTAAAAGGAACAGAGAGGGCTGGGAGAACACGGCATGTTTAGGAACTTTGAGAAACAGTAATCCGTGAGTTGGTTATGGTGCTGAGATGGCCGGGGGGGGGGGGGGGGGGGGGGGGGGGAGGAGGAAGGTGGAAGCTGGAGGAGTCAGAATCAGATCATGCAAGCCTTTGAAATATTAAGCCTTTGAAATATTTGATTAGGTGTTTGTATTCCACAAGCAGGAGAAAAAGATGAGAATCAGAAAATGGAAAGTGACATTATTACTACATTCAAAAAATATGCATTAAGTGCTCACTACCAGATGCTTACACTATGCCAGAAGCAAAACATATAAAAATACCAATCTGTGGTGCTTACACTAGTGAGTGGGGTAGGAAGCATGCTATACACACTAAAATTAAGTAAACTGTATAGTATGTTAGAAGATACATGTTTTGGAGGAAAAATAAAGGACAAAGAGGAACATGGCAAAAGAGATCAAGAGTGTCTAGTTTGGGGATTGGGGGTGGTAGTGGGCAATAATAAATAGCCTGATTGAGAAGGTACATGATCAGGACACAATTAGATTTATTTCTAGGAATATTATTGCAACAGCAATAGAACTTAAAGCGGAGTGTGAAGAAACAGGTGCAGAGAGAGTAACAAGGGGGTCACTGCAATAGTCAGGGGTAGTGACTAGAATCCAAGCAGCACAGGGACAGAAGGGACGCAGAAAAGATGACATTCAGCCACAGGTGAACAACAGATCTTGGTAACTTCCTAAGTACAAGGGAGGACAAGGAAGCAACAAGGGCAGCAGCTTTTGTTTTTTCAGGACTGAGTAGTGAAAACTTGCCATTCCTAACAAAGCTTTGATTGTAAAAGCAAGAAGCAGGATGAGATGGTCAATCAGCGACAAGGGCTTTGGAGCCAGAAAATGCAGTTGTTTGTTGTTGTTGTTGTTTGTTTGTTTGTTTTTCAAAGTTTGGATTTTATTTCTTAAGGTAACGGAGAACTACTGACGGGGAATTTGCCGGGATGGGATGAGAAGACTTGATCTTGCCAGTAGGCTGAGCTCCAAAAACCAGAAGGATATAAGAGATTGAAGAGGTGGAAAAATTTATGAAATAGTATTTTTGGGGAGAAAAAGAGAAGGTAGGATCAAAAGTACACACAGGAGGGTTAGTCATTGGAAGGCTTTATGCTGAGTTATTGAAAATTTAAGGTGGGGTCCCTGATCACATGTGGGGTTCAGGGAGATTAATCCAGTGGGTAAGAGATTATTGAAGACAGAGGGAAGAAAATGACTGATGACTTTAAGTAAGCCTACTTTTCAGAGTGGCTGAGGAGAGTAGTTAAAAAAGCCAGCTATAATGGGGAATGAGAAGAAAGTCAAATAGAGTAGGGAAGCAGCCTCTGGAATAACACTGATCTTGAACATTCTTCTCTTGAAATGGTATTAGCTGGTTGAGCTGGTGCTTCTTCAGTAATGCTCAGTGGTGTCCACAGAAGGGGGTGACTATGAGAAACCATTCCAAGGAGGTTTTGAGTACAGGACACAAGTCAAGATCATCCAATTCCTATAAGATCACTTTCTCTTTTATATAAAGCCATCACTTTTCCCCTGTTTCTTACCTTAGTTTATAATCTTATTGTTGCTTGTCCTGACTTTGCAAGTCTCCAAACCTACATTCCCAACCTCTCTCCCCGCCCCTACCTCCTGCCTTCAAACCTATATTTTATACTGTTGCAGATAACTCTGCCAGAAGACTGCTTTTCTCAGAAACTGTCAATGGTTTCCTACAGTTTACATTTCCTGTCTTGGCATTCAGGAACCTCCCCAATGCCCTGCCTAGAATTCTCTCTCTCAGCGCACACTATAGCCAAAATGCAACACACCACCCAGCAGCCTCCTCCCGGGGCCTG